TCTATCACTGTGATGAGGTTATGCTGATGAGGTTTACAAGATTAGATAGTGTCTTAATCCAATCTCTTTTGAGATATAAAAGAGAGAAGCGAGCAGAGACACAGGGGAATCTCATACCACCAAGAAAGCAGTGCTGGGAGCAGAGCGCGTCCTTTGGACCTGAGGTTCCTGTGCTGAGATGCTCCCAGACCAAGGCAAGACTGATGCATCACAAGAACTTTCCTCAAGAGCCGACAGGGAGAGAAAGCCTTCTCCTGGAGCTGACAGGGACAGAAAGCCTTTTCCTGGAGCTGATGCCCTGAATTTGGACTTGTAGCCTACTGGACTATGAGAAAATAAATTTCTCTTGTTAAAAGCCATCCACTTGTGGTATTTCTGTTAGAGCAGCACTAGATGACTAAGACATTATCAAAGGGACTACCTTCAAAAAGTTTGAGAAACAGTGAAGTAAAGTCCTATAATTAGTCATTAAGGCCAAGAATTTATTTTGTTATATTTCTGGCATTTGTTAAAACATAACAATCATCATATTTTACATTCATTATTCACCATACTCCAGACTGGATGGCAACCACTGGAGATCCAGAGATAAAAGAGATACCGCCCTTGCCCCCCAGGGAGTTCGTGCTCTACTAGAGAAGACAGACAAAGGAATTATTAATACCCTAACATGATAAGAACCATAATAGACATAGGTACAAAGAGCACAGGGAAGAGAAGGATTAATTCCTAGTTATTTAATTGTACTTGTATAATTCTTTATAACTGACACCATGAATTGACACTGGGGAATACCTACTCCTCAGAACATCTCAGGAGAGGTATCAACCCCATAATCAAGGCCTACAAGGGTGAGATGACTTGGTCAAGATACTAGGACCAGATGACCAGGGTCATCAACCCCAGGTCAAAGGGGGCTCCAAGCCAAGTCTCTTCTGTGACACCACACTAAATGTGTCTTTTTATTATTATTTATTAAGATACAGATACAGATTTCATTTCAGAAACCAAACCTAGTCAACATTTTCAGGCACTGACGTGTGTGAGGAATTTAGTCTTGAGCTCCAAAGTTTGTGAAAATTAGTCACCTACTTTATAGCTTCTGATCTGTTATAACTAAGAGGAAACACGAGGCTTGAGAAGCAGACAGACCTGGTTCAAATGTGGCTCAGGGCTCAGTGGTGATGTCATTTTAGGCAAGCCACTGAAGTGCTCTGATCCTCAGTACCCCATGTGGCACACCAGGGAAATGACATTAAATAGTAAGATGTTAAGTAAAGGTACCCGGCCCAGAGGAGGTGTTCTTGCTCTGTCTCTGTTATCATCATTCTAGTCCCAGCTACTAACATCTCTTACCTGGATTGCTGCAAAAGTTTTTCTTCATTCATTTTGGGCCACTCCAATCCATCCGTGCTGCCACCAGTGAAAGATAAAAATTCTCCACATAATCTATAATGTTGCTTTCCAAAGTACAGGTCGTTAGCCTGTAGTGGGTCATAGAAACAATTTTTTTTGAGTCACCACCAGCTTTTTTTAAAAAAGTGGAATAGAATAGACATACCAGATTGCAATGTGAGTTGTAAGCGTAAGTGTTATTTCATGAAACTTGTTTTCTCATTGTAG